TCTTTGTACATTTGATTCAACATTTCTTTCTCACTAAACTTGCTATCCTGCAATTGCTACACATGAGAAAGATAAAGAAAACTGCTGAATTACCCAGAAGTTATTCCATTTTGAATGAATCAGCTACAGTAGGCAATATGTACTTATATTTCTTTTACAAAGAAACTTTTTATAATCCCCACATTATATAAAATCAGTGCAATACTTAAGCAGATATTTTTTGTCTGGCTGTACGTCAGAATCACTTTTGGAACTCACAAAAGTACTGGGTAGAATCATGTTAGATGGACCATAGGCATGTGTATTTGAAGAAAGGAAAACAAAAAGATACTCATAGTTGATTCAGATATAAAACCAGTTGAGAACCATTGAATTAAAATAGAGAAGTGATTAAGATTTTGAATGACTATAGACAGATTGAGAATTTATCATTATTAGTAGCAAAGGACATATTGTTTGGTCCATAGACACTGTAAGAAAGTAGCCAGTCTGGTGTAGACCAATATGGAATACAAATAGCTGGAAATTAGAAGAGATTAGCTGACAATACAGAAACCAGCATGATAAAAGATCTAGTACATTTATTTTGTTACTTTGCCTTGAATCTATATCCTTATGTTTTGCTCACTTGAACTTCAATGAACAGAGGTGGATTTTACAGTCACTTATTATTAATGCATTTTTGTGTATTTTTCCTTATATATGGTTTTTTTGAGGGGGATGACTTTTTAATTTTAATATACTTTCAAACTTAATTATGCAAGGGTGACACAAATAGCTTCCATATCTTTTACCTAGATGCACTGGTTCACCAGTTTTCATTTTGCTTCATTTGCTTTATTTCTGTGCATATTCACCTATCTTTCTCTCTCTTCATCTTCCCCTCCCACCCTATAGTAGTATTGTAAGCCACCAAATTTATAGTGATTTGTTACATAGCAATCTAATAAAAATAGTAAAATTCTATGCAATCCATGGGTCAAATAAAAAATTAGAAATTAGAAAATATTTAAAGTGAGAGAAAATGAATGAAATCTTTTAAACTGAAAATAAAGTGATTTAAGTTGAATAAAAATAACAGTGTTTGAGGTACAGCTTAAGCTGTTATTAGAGGAAAACTTAGAGCCTAAATGTAAATATTGCCAAAAAAGGAAAAGCAGAAAGTCAACAACTTATTTTTTAAAGAAATTGGGAACCAATAGTAAATGAAGCCCAAAGATAGTAGAAGGAAGAAAATATGAAGAAAATTAGAAAATTGTGAACTAGAAAACAAACATACAAGAGAATCAAAGATTTTTCTGGAAGATGTTAATAAAATTGGTAAGACCTTGGCAAGGGTGCTCATGAAATAATATCAAAGGCTAAAGTAATCAGTAGCAGAGATGAAAAAGGAACATCAATGCAATTCCTATAAGACAACAAAATAAGATGTTATGAACAACTTTATGCTAGTAGTCATGAGAATTTAGATGAAATGAATGTTCTTTGGGAAACACAACTTACTAAACTGAGACAGAAAATAGAGAATATGAATACTCATTTATCAATTTAAAATAGTGAATCTGTAATTGAAAACTCTCCCACAAAGAGACAGTTGGCTTTTTCTGGTAAATTCTCTAAAACCATACAAAAAAAGAAATAACATCAATCTTAAACACTTTTCCAGAAAATAGAAAAGAACACTTCTTATTCATTGTGTGAGGATAGTATAACTGTTGAATGAAAATATGGTAGGACCTTATAAGAAAGTAAAATTATGGATTAAATTTTTCATGACCATAGCAGTAATATTTTACATTTTCATTATCAGATAAAATTATAGATTGGAAAGATGGAAATAAAACTTAATTATTCACAATCAATATGTTTGTAGAGAACTTTACTTATAAACATTAATGTTTTATCAATTTTAACTTAGTAAGGTTTACTGACTAAAAGGTCTATAAAAACTGTGTTTTTTATATGTAACAACAAATAGGAAATATCCACTTACCATTCTACTAAGTGAAGTATCCCAAGAATGGAAAAATAAGCACCACATGTACTCACTAGCAAATTGGTATTAACTGATCATCACCTCTGTGGACATATAAGAATAACATTTGTCTGGCATCGGGCAAGTGGAGGGCGGGGAGGAGGGGATGTGTGTATATATATGTGATGAGTGCAATGTGCACCATCTGGGGGATGGACACACTTGAAACTCTGACTCTGGAGGGATAGAGTGGGGAAAGGCAACACACGTAACCTAAACATTTTGTTACCCCCATAATATGCCAAAATAAAAAAATTAATAAAAAATCAGCTTATAGTAGCATCAACAAATAATTAGGAATAACTCTAACAAAAACTGAAAGGACTCTGTACTGGGAACCGAAACACTTATGAGAGAAATTAAGGAAAATTTCAGGATACAGAGGAACATATCATATTAATTGGAAGGCTTGTTATTTTAAAGAGATTATTTCTGTCTAAAACTCAGCAGTTTTTTTGGAAATTGATTGTAAAATTTATATGGCAATGAAAAATTCTTAAAAAATGTTCTGTATTTTGGATAACTGAAACATAGTATAAGATAATGTCAAATAGATTTTGAATTACTTCATGTTTTTATATTTTGTTTTGTAGGTTTGCAGTAATATGCCAGTTTTCTTTTATTGTTGACTTACATTTGGTAGAGTTTAGAATTAAAGAAAGATAGATATATGATGAAACAAGGAAGGGAAAATTCACTATATATGCTCAATTTTGTTTTAAAGAATTCTTAACTTTATACATCATTTTATAAATTTGCCCAAAGAGTGCCATCACATTGATTGTTGTTTGTAAATTATTCTGTGTTCTTACATATTTTGGTTCTTTTTTTTTTTTTTTTTTTAGTGAGAAGCATTCAGAAATACAATCATCTGGGTTTTTGCTAGGATATCACAAAGTCAAAATTTCTTTAAATATTTCATTTTATGATGTGTGATATTGGGTTACCTTTGTTTTAAAAAAATCCACTGATTTTATAATAGCAATCTCCTGATTGAAAGCTCTTAGGCTGCTGTGTTATCCAAGATAGAAAGGAGCCTCAATGATCTGACCCTACTTGAGTATCCCACTTTAGAGTTTGCTAATAAATGATTTCATAGTTTTCAGGTAATTCTCTTGGCTGTTGGTCATTCTATGTTTATGTGAATACTTTTCCTACCTCAATACATTTTAAAATTTTGTTGTTATTTTTCTTATGTTCAAAGCCCCTTGTCCCTATTTCTAAGCAATACCTACTCACCTTTAAGAGTAAGCTCCTAATCCATTTTATTATAGTTATCTGATTTTGTCATCATTTCATCTCTCTCGACAATGATCTGTAACACTTACTGTCTACAATATTCGTTTGTGCCCTATAATGATGTTGAATTTCATTAATATCATGTAACTTAGAACTAAAGACTTTTTAGAGTTGGTAGAAACCTCGTAGCTGAGTGGAGTCCTAAAGAGAGGAAATGATTTTAAGGTAATATAACTTAGTGTCACAGATCTGTATCCAGAGTAAAGTAATCCTCTCAATCCATTTGAATTACTTTGTTTACATATATTTAGTTTTCTTGAATTTGTAGGGCACAAGAGAATGAAGAACGTGTTAGATTATCTTACAGAAATTACCGAAGAAAATTCAACATGTTAGAAAAGGCCTGAGCTTTGGGAAGGCCCAGATTTAAGTACCCTGTGAGTGCAAACAGGAATTATATGATTTAGCTAAAAATACATATTTTGAGACATTATATGGAGTAATGACTATTAAACCGTTAAGACTTTTCATATGAAAATGCTTGCTCAGTAAATATTAGATGTCTTTTCTCCCTCTTCCTTTCGTTTTAGTGTTTGGGAATTCTTAGGATTTGAATCCTTTTTCTATTACTCATATCCCTGTGAATCTTGGGCAAGTTACTTCACTTTTTTGAAGTCAAGCTTCCTAAATCTGTTACATAGATTCAGTCTAATATTATTCTTGTAGGGTTATCATGAAGATTAGCAGTAACGTAGCATACAGCTCCTGGAACATATAATATTATTAAGGGGAAGGTTATAATAGGAGTACTATTAACTGGTGATATTATTTTAAATAATCTTATCTAGCTTTACTTGGAAGAATCATTAACTATTGCTAGATCAGTGGTTACATAGAACATGTTATACAGAATTGCCCATGAAAGGAGCAGCTGGGTCAAATGTTATTTTTACTTCAGGACTCTTGTTTAAAATTAGGCTTTTTTTGTTTTTTTTGTCCCTGGCATGGAATGGTTCCTCAACCAGCAGCTATATGGGCATTTTTTAGTACTTTGGACTTGCCTTCTGTAGAAGAGGACTGGATATCTTTTGGGAGAATGCATCTAGGGTTTGTAAAGGTGAATATTACTATGCTACTTAGTTTATAATTTTTAATCAGATCATTGCATGACTTCTAAATTTGAAGAAAAATTTTTCAACCATTTTTACTCGTTATGGTAATAGTCAAAGTAGGATCTTAATTTCATTGAATTGACAATCTAGAGGAATGCCAAGGAAAACACCGTGCTTAGCCAGGGCACTGGGTAGCCCAGTGAGTCTGTGCACAGGAGACACCTTACAGCCTAAAGAGTGAATCTGCCTGGGAAGTGGGAAATCTATCAGATTCTGGGAGACTCCTTATGACACAGAAGAATTGAATTGATAAGCCAAATAGTTGTCTCTTCCAGTTACTCCCTTCCAAATGCATCCTAAAATCTATTTCTGTTGGTTGCCCAGTGGATTGTTACTTACAATGTGTTTAATGCATAGATTCATTGACTTTGGTGCTAAACAGAGTCAAGAACATCTCAGTGTGTAGTATAGGTCACTCCTCTTGGCCTGAAGCCAACCCTTCCTATTCTTGATCAACAGCTAAAAACAGTAGGTAAGTACACGTTTCAGCATACTAGGGTGTTGTTCCATGTTTTGTAAGAAACTTAACATTTTAATTTTTTTTTTCATCTCAGAAAGAATTTCACAAAAGATCTGTGTAGTTATGGACACAAAAGAAGGTGAAGAACCTGTAGGTCATCTTCTTGAAGAAGTGCTGAAAAGTGAATTAAATGTAAGTATTCAAAGACTGAGTTTGAAAAGCTTTGATTGCCAAAAATTTTTGTAATATGAAGATATGTTCCTTGAAAAGGTATAAAAATTCTTCCATCCTAATATTCTTATCATTTTGCCTTTGTCAGATCCTTTGGTCTGCCAATACTTAGGATTTGAAATACACTATATCCTCTTTTTCAATTTCTTTTGTGGATATTTTCCGTATCTGAATAATTTTGGAATCAGCAACAGACAAGAAGAGCTAAGGAATGAATATGATCTCCTGAATTAAATGCAATTCTATCCAATATAAACTAGCATTGCAAAATTTTAAATTCTAACAAAAGAGTCAATGGCTAATTTGTTGATTATTTTTATGTTAATAGGTAACCTGTTGTACAATCTGATAAAACATAATATAAACTGAATTTTAGGAGAAATGAGCCTGCTAAAGAGAGATAGAATCATCTTGCCATATTATTTAAAAGTTCTGAAATGGCATCTAAGATTCTAGTAGGCTTCCTTTTTTGATCTTTTCTTTTCCCCTTGATTATGCCTTCCCCCTCTTCTGCCTCCTACCTCTCCCTCCCCCGTCATTGTTGACTATAGAAATTTTCAATCATATACCTAAAAAGAGAGGATACTATTATGACCTCATGTATCCATTACCTAGCTTCAGTAATTATCAACTCATGGCCTATCTTATTTCCACTATAACTCCACTCATTTCCCCCAGATTCTTTTGAACAAATCTTAGATATCATATTTCATCTGGAAGAAAGATTTCCTTTGTTAAAATATAACCAAATATAATTATCACACCCAGAAATATCAGCACTGATTCCTTAATGTCAACAGTGTTCCCTTTTCTCCAGTATGTTTACACATTGTTTTCCTACTTGTTTATTAGTATACCAACAATACCCATGAATTACTACTGGTTAGTATGTTTCTCAAGACTTTTTTATTCCATAGCCTTTCTCACCATTTTTTCAAAAAATATTTTTTGGGAAGATACAAATTAAGTACATTGACCTATAGAATTGCCCACAGGGTGAGTTTTCATGGATACAGTATTCCCCAGTTCTTCCACATAAATAAAATTATTTAAAATCTTCAAGGTGATTTTGGCTAGATCAAAAAAAAAAGAATCTTGATTTAAAAAATTTTTATTGACATTTTAAATATGCCACTCTATTTTCTTCTGTCAAAGTATTTTGGTCAAGTGTGATGAAAATCTGATTTTCTTTGTCATATGAATGACTAGTCTCTTTGGATGCTCAAATTTTTTTCCTTTCCAGTCCAATTGTTTTACTAGCATTTTCTCAATTATGGCTTCTCAGTTGATACCCCTAAGTACACAATTATGTAATTTCAAATCTTCATGAGAATATTTTTTTTGAGAGAGTCTTGCTTTGCTGCCCAGGCTAGAGTGCCCTGGCATCAGCCTAGCTCACAGCAACCTCAAACTCCTGGGCTTAGGCGATCCTCCTGCGTCAGCCTCCCGAGTAGTTGGGACTACAGGTGTGCACCACCATGCCTGGCTAATCTTTTCTATATATTTAGTTGGCCAATTTATTTCTTTCTATTTTTTTTTTTTTTTTTTACTAGAGACAGGGTCTTGCTCTTGCTCTGGCTGGTTTTGAACTCCTGACCTTTAGCAATCCGCCCACCTCGGCCTCCCAGAGTGTTAGGATTACAGGCGTGAGCCACCATGCCTGGCCTTCATGAAAATTTTTATGGCATTGTTTTTAGTATTTTATGTTTCATTACTTTACTTTTCTTCTTCATTGATTCCTTTTGCATGAAGTTTATCTGTTCTTTTCCCATCTATTATAGCTATTAATATTTTTTTGATATTTTAATTCTTTAACTTTTTGATTTGAAAATATCTTTCCCTCTTGTATTTCTTTAGGCTTTATCTTTTGTATTTATCTATTTCCTCTTTGTAATTTACAACCTTCATTTCTAGAATTTGTGTTTTGAATTTTTCTATTCTTATGACATTGTTTCACAAAGCCATACTATTCCAATTCTGATTTTATAATTATATCATTTTCTTTATTACTCCTAGCTTATTAAATATTCAGTTTCAGTCTTCTGAATAGGTCTTTCTGATGTACATGCATTGCCTGTAGGGATAGTATTCTGCTCTTTTTTATTTCTTATATTAAATGTATGAGATTTGAGATCCTCTCCTATTGCTCCTTTTTGAGTAAGAGAGTTTTATCTACTTTTAGGAGGGAAAGGGTAGGTAAAAATAATTTTTCCAGCTTAATGGTATAATGCTTCTTCTTTAGTTGTTTTTAGGGAAAGATGAAATATATGGCCAAGTTCTTTCTGGGTACTTCTACCTCTGTTGCCCTCCTTTGCCTGGACCGTCTCTTTCCATTATTTCTCTTTGTCCATCTAGACTTCTTCTCAGGCTGATGCTTTAACTTAGAAAAGGTGCTTCAGTTTATTATTTTTGAGTGCTCTTTGTTTTTGGGTCTGAATCCCCAGATACCCCTAACACCCTGGCATGTTGTTTCTTTGTTTTCAACTCTGAATCGATGCCTACAAAGGCTTCTCCTACTTTCTATTGCTAATCTCAGAATGGCCTGACAAGCTATCCAGAAAATACCTGATGATTTTGTTGTTTACTCTCTTGCTTGGTTTTCTTCCACTCTCTCCTACATAGTTTCTTAAACCAAGTTGATTTTTAACATGTGCTGTCAATTTATTCCTACTCACTAATACTGGCTTTTTGGTACATATTGCTTATTGGTTTTTGGTTTTGATATCCTGCTTGCATTGTTTGTTTTTATGGAGGGATCTGCATAGATTGAAAGATTAAAACAGCATTTGTAGCATTCCAGAATCATCTTCCCCTTTATTCTTTATGTGTGCTCTGCTGACCATTCTAATTTTTATAAGTACTTAAATTTCTGTTAATTGCAAGTATCTAATTTAGCTATAAACATAAACATAGCAACTTCAGAATTTTTTAAAAATTAGGTTTGACTTGAAGTTAGGGGTCTCATTTATATACTAAACAAAACTAAGTATTTATATATTCAAAAGAAAGGAAATATCCCTGTTTCTCAAATACCTCTTACTTATAATGTCCTCCTTTTAGAAGCTACATTAGACTTTTTACTTATTTGTTTTTAATGGGGAGCTAATGTAGAACTTTAAAACTGAACTTTGGATGCCCTGTTATCTTAGAGAATCTAGGTTGAATGTGGAAGGAGATGCCATTCCTGCCTGAGCCTTCCCTAGCTTCTAAATTTGTGTTTTGAAAATATAAATAAATAAATAAATAAAGCACTGTTAAACCACACAAAGACTTATCGGAATGCTTTCTGTCATAAACAGCTATAACACTTAACAATCATGGAGTGCCTATTATGTGCCAGACACAGTACTATAAAGTTCCTTTGTCTTGAAAATAGCCTGATGATTTCCCCCCTTCATTTTACCAGTAGAAGTAGGAAACCTCATGGTTTAATGATTTTCCTAAGATCAAATAACTAGTAAATGTAGGTGCTATTTGATTTAGTATGAGCCTCTACTAATTAATATTCTTCTAAGACAAGGTGAAATGAAGAAAAGACAGATTTTTCAGTTTGCCAGAAGGGTTTAAATGCCTGAGGACTGGAAGAGTTTGTCCCCTGGGGAAAAGACTTATCCAGTTTTATATAATTTTTCTCTACCTTTACAAAGGCAAATTTATCTTGTGACATTTTTCAGCCTTAAACTTATAAACACAAAATGCAACGTATTCTGTATTCTAACATTTTTAGCTCTCAGAGCTTTTTTTTTGTCTTACTTTGAAAAGAACATATAAAAAGGATGAAGTCACCGCTATTGAAATCACGACATCTGTAGGGCAGATCAGTGTGGGTGTGGAGCTGCTCTTCATACAATGGGAAGATTGTTTTATTGATGTGAAAAGAAAAAAAGTTTCCCTTTGAAACTAAAGGAAAAGATTGGATATGCTTATTGTACTTATCTGTGCTAGAATTTTGCAATGTACCTTAGGGGTGAACCGAACATCTGACTAATGTGGAAATGCACACCAAATACAATGTGGGAAGAGGTTGCTAAAAAGTAAAATAAGGAGCTAATTGAATAAGAGACACCTCTTCCATCCCCTTCCCCCCCATACACATGCACATTTCGGTGATACTTAAATTACAGGGCTTTGTCAGTCTCCTTATACTCCTTTGATTTCTTAAGGAGTTTGAAGCATTTCATCTACCTGTTTCAGAGATGGAGCTCTCCAGAGATATGTCAGGGTGGTACACAATGATAAAAGGAATCCCTCTCAGTTCTTCCCAAGTCTCAGAAAATATTGAAAAATAGTTTATACTATACTAAAGGTAGTAAGGAATTTATAAGTAGGAAGATGTGATTAGTCTTTTATTTCTTAACTCTCTAATTTATTTACCAAATAATAAATGGCCTGTCAGGATATAGTCACTGGATATAGAGAGTTGAACTGAGCAGATATGGTTCTCTGTCCTCAAGAAGGATACGGTCCTGTTGGGGATAAAACAGTAAACAAATGCAAATAAAAAAGGATGTGGACTTACAAATTGTGATGACTATTCTAACCAAAAAGTAAACTGTGCTTATATAAGAAAGCCATAGAAAATGACTCCACTGGGAGTGGAGGGCAGTGAGTGAAATCTCTTAGCAGAAGTGGCCTTTAGTTATAAGCCTATAAGGGCAATCAGGAGTTATCTGTTTAAAGATGAAGCCAGTAGTGTCATGGTAAGTGAAAGGCACATAAAGAGCTGCTTTCAGGGGAACTGAAATAAGGCTTCTCTGTGTGAATTGTGGTGAATGGAGTGCAGGCGGGAGGTGAGGATAGAGCTGGGACGGACCCAGAGGCAGCCTCATAGGCCGTGTTGAGTTTACTGCTACATCCATTACTGTTACTGCTACTATTATTTATATTTGTCTTAAGAGAAAACAAAGGGATAGACGTCTTTAGCTGGAAATGACGTGATCCAATTTACCTTTACAACAAAA